GCGCGCTTGAAGGTAGAGCGACGCGGTGTGGATGGCTTTCTGCATGACGTCGCGGACGATCTCGATGTCCATGTGCGATGAGGACGCCTCCAAGATCGCCGGCGCAAGCTCGAGCGATGTCGCGGCGAGGCGTCGCCAGCTTCGCCCGCAAGTTTTGGAGGAACCAGGCCGCCGCCGCGGCAAATGCGGAGCCACTCAAAACACGTCCTTGAACTGTGCCAGGTTCGATTCGCCATGCGCGCTGCGGAATGCCGTATGCCGTGACGATCGCCTGTCGCGTGGTGCGTAGATAATCAGTCATCGCCTCGAATGCACCGGGCGCCTGCGTCGCGCGGAGGACCGCGCGCACGGGCGTCTGAGACGAGCTGGGCAAAGCCGCGCGCGTCGAGGGCCAAGGGGACTGGCGCGTCGGCGCCTGCCGCCGGCCGATTGGAGTAGGCGCGCGCGCGGGCGTCGAGTCCGAGCGCGTCGGCGCCGAATCTTCGCCCAGGGATGCACCCTCGTTCCGGCTGCGGCGTCCATTGAGGGGCCCTAGCTTGCTGCGCTGCGAGTTGGCGCAGGAAGTTGGAACCCTCGCGCTGGTGCTGCGCGGCCCGATGACTCTCGCGCTCTGCGGCGCCCTCGTGCATCCTGCGACGGGCGAGTCGTCGTCGTCGTCGCAGCCATTCGGGGGCCATGCCTGCAGCGTGTCATTGAATTTGCGGAGCATCTGCCCCCTCAAGATGTGCATCAACGCGCCCCTAAAACGTCCAGGCCCTTCCGCGTGGCCGCCCAAACTGCGTGGGTGATCGCATCAATGCCCCGTTCAAAATGCTTCATCTCATTCGCTGCATGTCCCGCGCGTCGTTGGGGGGCAGGAGATGGCGGGGGCGCCCGCGAGAAGCCGAGCGGCCTCGCGCGGACGTCGACGCACTGCTCCGCTTCGCTGACGTCGCACATCTTCTTCGCAAGAATCGGAGCCCAATCTTTGATGAGGGGCGTCGTCCATGTCATCGGCGCTGCAGCGAGTGCAGTCGCGGTCGGGGCCCTCGGCCGCGCGCTTGGCCATGCGATGGGAAAGAAGGGGCCGGGTGGCCGCCTTGCGCTCGCGCGCGTGATCTGACCCCCCCCCCCTGCCCCCTGCGTCGCAACCGTGGTCCGCGGCGCTGGGGCCACGAGCCGCGAGCGATGGCGCCGCGCGCGTCCGCGTGGAATTTCGCCATGCTGTTGCAGAAAGGATGGCGGGCGGCGCAATTTAATGCGCCCATGTCCAACGTCGAAGATGTCCGCTGCAGTCGGATGCCGGTCGATGCACGTCGCCGCGCATCGCGCGTCGTCGCGCCAAACCGCCCCAGCGACCGCCCGAGCAAAATGGAGCAGGCGATTGACCCACTTGCGCAGCTCAGTTTGCCTCGGGGGAGATGTGCCCGCGTAGTTGAGCTGCTGCGCCAATTCGAACAGTGCGTCCGAGAACTGCTGGGTTTCGGATGTGCGCCGATGGGTGCGTCGTTGCCTATTTTCGCCATGTGGCCGCCGCCGAATAGCCGCCAATTTCGTTGCGTGATCGCTCGTTTGTCTGCTGCCCCACTGCCTCGGGGGCGCTGCTCGCGCCGGGGGGGATAGATGTCTGACGGGGCATCCAGCTCGGCCCGCTGGTCCAGAAGTTGTCGATGGCAGATGCCGCGTGAGCACGTTTGTCGCACTGCGTGGCATCGCCATCGAGACTGCTGTTATCTGCGCAACATGATTCCGCCACGTGAGAGCTCGTGCATCTTGGCCCCAGCCTTCCCAACTACCTTGGCGCGTTCAGGTAGATGGAAAAGAGAGTGAGGGATAACGGTCCGCGATGATGGTGCCCGAGCGGCATGAGAAAGGTCAGCGCGCACCCTTATAGAGATCAACTGCGCCTGTCTGAGATGGGGAACTCGTGGCTGTAGACGTTGTCCTGCATAGCCATTCGTCGATAAATTCGAACATCCAAACGTAATGCGCGGCCAAGAACTATCTCCGACTTCGTGATGACTGTTTCACAGGTAGCAGGGAGAATGGTCGCAACGCCAAACTTGATGAAAGAGTCGAACTATGAAGTGGCAAATCGAAGCCCCTCCTGCTGGACCTTCTGAAGGCAGCCGCGTGTCTGGCCATCTTCCTGATGGGGTTTCTGCAGTGCCACGGGCCCACTCTTGAAGTTGACGCGCTTGCGGTGCGTGATTTGTTCTGCGCCTTGGCGCCCTTGAGGAGTAGCTCGAGTGTTCCAGGAACTGAATGACACGTTCGGCGATTTTCTCTCGACTTCGCAAACCGCATCCCCCCGCAGACCGCCTCAACCACCGTGCTGAAGACGCCACTCCACAACTTCAGGAGGGGCCGCGATCGATTGCGCACGCTGCTCCATGCGCTGCCTATTGAACTGATGCTTGGCGATCAGGTTGTTGGCCATCCTGCGGTCCGTCCTGCCATTCCCAGGGGAGGGGGTGAGCTGGGCGACCAGGTCCCAGCCTGCCATGATGACGCCACGATCCCGATCGAGGAACCATGCCTTTGTCGAGCCCATAGAGCGGAGGATTCCCTTGAGCTTTTTACTCTGCACTTGCATTTTGATTTGTTTAGGGTTCTTGTCAGCGCCGATATGGAGGTCACACTGCGAGCCATCAGCTGCTTCTGTTTGGAAGCGCTTTCGCTGCCCATGACCGAGAAGTTGAGTGTTCAATTCTTTGACCATTCGGCGAACCGCTGGTCTAACTGCACCATTGAACTTGACAAGAAGTAGGGAGAGACTTGTTCTGCAGATTCAATGTCAGCACAGGCGGTTTGCACTCCAACAGTGGCGATCCAGTCCGTGAGGCACTGCTTGGCATGGCTGATGTTCGCGAGCTTGGACATGAAAACCTTCATGCTGGCGCCCGAACCCAACGGAGCCGGTGACGGGTTTGGGCTGTGGGCTGGCCAGTGAAGGGCCTCACGTAGTTGCTGGATTTCTTCTCGGATGTGTGCGCGGGCGGTGTCATGCTCGGCCAATCTGGTTCCATTTCCTCGAATTCGGACATGATGCGCATCGATCTGTTCATGCATTTGCCGATTGAGCCTGTTTAATCTTGTTGTTCGCCGCGTTCTCACCCACACGTGGGATATCCCGGTACCAGCATCTCTGTTCCCTGAAGCCTGCTCGTCCAGGGCCGCGGCAAGGCTGGCAACCTTGTCCTCGACCGGGGTGGCGACGACGGAGCAAAAATCTTCGGAGGGACTGGCGGGTGGACTTTGAGCTGCTCAATGACCTGCGTGCGCGAGGGCTGGCCAAGAAGGTATGCGTCGTTGCCTTCATCGGCGTCTGATTTTTGTTGTTCCATATTCTTCAGGCCGAGCGCCTTGTCGAGGGCCCCCAAAGCCAGCGCTGCCATCACCAGCAGATTCTGGAGTGGGGTGATCTTCTTCTCCAGGAGGTTGGTCGACATGCGCACGGGGAGTGTCACGAATTTGGCGCCGACCTTTGAGTTTCTTCTTGGCCCTGGGCCCACGAGCACCCTCGCTGCGAGACCGCTCGCACATATGAGCAGGAGCGAATAGGCTGACAAACACGGGAAATTCTACAGTTTATCCGCAAGGCTGTCTGTGGGACGTGGGATTCGCCCCAGTAGTAGCCAACTGAAATGTGGAAGCAGGCGTCGGACTAGCGGTATCCACCTTGTTTCCACGGAAGCAGACATCTTGAGCCACATTGGCTACGGAGGAAGAGGAGGAGGAGGAGAGGAGGATAATATGAGGAGGGGGAGGGGGAGGGGGAGGAGGAGGAGGAGGAGGAGGAGGAGGAGGAAAAGGAGGAGGAGGAGGAGGACACGTGTAAATCCAAGAGTCACCAGCGATGTTGGGATTAACCCTCCCTCCAAGCTCCCTCTTCGTAGGCCCCTACAACGGTTCATGTCCATTGAAGGAACTGCCTCGTTGGATGACAACCGTTTGAAGATCCTGAAACATGCCAAGACACCGTTCTCGGGATTTCAACACCAGGGATTCGCCTGACTGCTGCGTCTTGACGATCCGGAACCGTGCCAGAACGCAATGCTTGGGACTTCGACACCGCGAGTCCAAATAACTGTTGCACCCGTATAATCCTGAATCTGTCCCAAACATTATTTCTGGTACGCTGATCATGGGCACCAGTGGAACTCTTGCAACTGTTTAAAACGAATGTGCGCGGCGCTAAAGCGAGAGCCCCATTTTGAAAAGGGGCCACCCTCAAGATGTGAAGCTCTGGCAACTTCTTGAAAATGTACGCGGCGCGAAAGCGACAACCACATTTTGAAAATGAACCACCCTGAATCCGTGAGGCTCTTGCAAGTAGTTAAAACGAATGTGCGCGGCGCTAAGGCGAGAACCACATTTTGATTCGGGACGGCTCTCAATCCATTAAACTCTTGTATTGTTTAACAAAGAATGCGCGCGGCGCTAAGGCGAGAACCACGTTTTGAAAACGACCCGCCCTCAATCCTTGAAGCCCTCGCAATTTTTGAAAACGAATGTGCGCGGCGCTGAGGCGAACACCACACTTTGAAAACCACCCGCCCTAAATCCGTGAAGCTCTTGTGCATTTTTAACACGAGTGCGCGCGGCGCTAAGGCGAGAGCCACATTTTGCAAACCCGCCCTCAGTCCGTGAAGCTCTTGCCAACGTTTAAAGCGGATGTGCGCGGCGCTAAGGCGAGAGCCACATTTTGAAAACCACCCGCCCTCAATCTGCGCAGCTGTGAACACTTAAAATTCATGATCATAATCGGTGAGGAAGTCTCCAGCGAAACGCGCGGCCTGCCCTAAAAACTTGCCTCGGGGTGCGACAATGATACATTATTTATAAGGAAACAGAATAGAGGAGGAGGAGGAGGAGGAGGAGGAGGAGGAGGAGGAGGAGGAGGAGGAGGAGGAGGAGGAGGAGGAGGAGGAGAAGGACGAGGAGGAGGAGGAGAAGAGGAGGAGGAGGAGGATGAGGAGGAGGAGGAGGAGGAGGAGGAGGAGGAGGAGGAGGAGGGAGGAGGAGGAGGAGGAGGAGGGGGAGGAGGAGGAGGAGGAGGAAACACATTCCAACCAGTTCCAAGAGATCGCTTTTCATCTCCTGGGCGGCTGCTCTGGGGGCTCCAGAACTACTGCGGATAGGTCGGGCCTTCTCGTCCATGACCGCACGGAGCCTTCAGTACCTGACTTCTGACCATTTGGCCACCGTGAATTTGAGTGCGCGCTCGGCGCGCACCAGAGCCCCACCAGCGCCAGGTAGTGTCGCTGGAGAGAGAGAGAGAGAGAGAGAGAGAGAGCGGGGGGGCAAGTGGTCGGGCGGCGGCACCGGCCCCAGGTCCGGAGGAAGCCAACCACACACCCTCGCCGATCCAGCGCGGCCCTGGGCAGGCCCGGGCCCGGGACCCGTGCCCGCGCCCTCCCCGCCCGGCCAGGAAGGCAGACGTGCACCGATCCTGGGCCCAGGGTTGGCCTCGCCAGGATCGGTGCTGGCGCCCCTCGACGGCTGGCACGGAGCGCGCGCACCAGAGCCGCGCCGTGGCTTCGCCACGGCGCACGACGGGGCGTCCTGGCACGGGTGCGGGGTGCTCACCGCCCGCGCGACTGCGGCCGCCGCTCAGCGATGCGCCAGTGGCTTTGCCGCAGCACCGGGGGCAGCTGTCGGCGCCCCTGGGCGGGTGAAAAGTCGCATTCTCGCCGCCTGCGCCGTGGTGGCTGCCGCCGCTCAGCGCTGCGCAGAGGCCTCGCCGTAGCACCTGAGGTAGCTATCAGCGTCCTTGAACGGGTGGAAGGTCGCGTGCTCGCCGTCCGCGCACGAGAAGCCCGGCCCCCAGTGCGGGTCGTGGCAGGCCGCGTCCTGAAGGGCGCTCAGTGCCTCCACCTTGGCAGCGCCGAGCTGCTTCATGCATTCGTTGAGGTACCTGTCCTCCACGATCGAGTCGCCCGCGCCCCCGGAGGAGCAGACCGGGCTGCCGTCCATGAGGTCCCTCGCGTAACTCTCGAGGGCTGACCGCGACACCACCTCGACGGCTCCGTACATGGTGTACTTGCAATTCTTCAGGAAAGCGCTCTTGCCGACCGCCCGCCCACCGTCCTCCGGAAACAGGTAGCCGAGCAACCCGCGCATCCGGTCGACGAGGAAGACCGCATCGGCGTCCAGCTTCACCACCCAGTCGTAGTTGAAAGCCCTCGGGTCGCGAGCAACCTTGTTCCAGAAGCGGACGAAGACGTCCTTGTTCAGGCGCACCTGGTACTGCCCACCGATTGGGCAGTCCAAGGGGCCAGGCATGACGTCTGTGGCCACGGCCCCCGCGGAGCCGCCCTCCAGCGTGATGTTCTCGTTGCTGATGACGGCGTACCCGTCGCAGGAGAAAGCGCCGAGGCCGTTTTCCAGCAGGGCCGCCATGAGCGCTGGCTCCTCGCCGGACGGCATCATCAGCGTGACGCAGAACATCGTTGGCGTCCCCTTCGCCTCGACCTCGCACGGCGCCCTGCAGCCGCCGAGCCCCTCCCGGCCGAGGTGCCGCTGGAAGTCCCGGAAGAAGGCCCCAGGCGCCAGCTCGGCGTACCACTCGGGCTTCTCCGAGAAGCTCGGAGCAGGGCGCTTGGGGACAGCGGCAGCTCACAAGCGGTCCCCCAGCCCCTCCCCGGGCCCAGACGCACCAGTTTTCCGAGCTGCGCTCCACCGTGGCGACGAGGAGCCGCCCGCCCCCGAAGGCCAACCACCGTTGTCTCGAGCGGACCTCCTCTCGGATGCCCCGCAGCATCGCCCACATCGCGTTGTCCGTGCAGTTGTCGCCCGCCACGGCGTCCTCGCACGCGTCGGCGGCCTGACCCGACCGACCGTTATCTGGTTTTTGGCGTCATAACTCGGGTCCCCGGCGGTCGTTCGACACGATCAAGGCGCCCCCGGAACGCCCTCGGCGAGGCGCAGCTAATAAGAAGCACCCCGCGGAGGGAGAGTCACCGAGAACCGCCAGAAACCGCGAAAAGAACAATCAAATCGGGGGGTGACCTGGAATTCGAGGCCTCCCAAATTGGGCCCGAGTAGATGGGGTCGGAAGATCGCGCCGCATCGCCAATGCACCGCCGATGCGTGTGCGACGTTGGCGACCCGTCGGCGCCGTCGGCGTGGAGACAGTCGGGCTCCACATCGAGCCGCATCGCCGACGCATCGGCGATGCGGCCCGATCCCCCGACCCCATCTGGGAGGCCTAGACCCCCCGCAGGGCGCGGAGGAGGAGTATGAGGAAGAGGAGGAGGAGGAGGAGGAGGAGGAGGAGGAGGAGGAGGAGGAGGAGGCAAGAGAGGAGGAGGAGGAGGCAAGATAGGAGGAGGAGGAGGAGGAGGAGGAGGAGGAGGAGGAGGAGGAGGAGGAGGAGGAGGAGGAGGAGGAGGAGCCCCCCTCCCCGCGCCACGCCCCGCCGCGCGGGCCCCACCGGAGCGGCGAGCCAGGGCGGGTCTCTACGCGAGATGGCACCGCGACCTTATATACGCCGCGGCGCGCGCGGGGCCGGCGGCGCGGCACGCCACATTCATGGGAAGCGGGGGCGCTAATTTTAAGTCGGGCGTGTCCCCCTACAGGGGGATTTTCAATGTTTTTGTGGAAAAAACCCAAAGATACCCCCAAAGAGGTCAAACAAATACTCCAAAAATAAATCCCCAACTATGTTTGGACTATGTTTTGGCCATTTGGGGCATCTCTTCGTTTTCGTCGAAGGGCCCCCTGTAGGGGGACAGGCCCGACATGACGCTAATTCTACGAGGGGCGGGGCCGCTGCGCGCCAGGATCGGCGCAAAAAACGGCCCCGTTTCTGGCTGCGTCGCCCGCGCGGCTCTCGGACGATGGAGCGATGCGCTCTCGCTGTGGTGCTCGCTGCGCGGCGCTGCCGCTCGTCGCTCGACGTGGGCCGCGAGCTCTCGTGGGGGGCCCGGAGGAATGCGACCTCCCAGCCCGCCGAAGATGAACGGGCGAAGAACGGTATGAGAGAACCTTTTTCGCCGTCGGGGACACCTGCCCCAGGGCGGCTGGAGAGTTTATACCCTCACGGTGGCACCGCAGGGGTGTAAACTTTCCAGCCGCCCAGGGGCAGGTGTCCCCGACGGCGGGAAGTTTATCTTATACCGCTCCTCGCTCGCAAAGGAGAGGCGGCGCGGTCCTCCGACCCCGCCTCCTCGGACCCCGTCTGCGACGCGCGCGCTGGGCGTTCGTGGCGCCGCGCGGCGGCGCCCCAACGCCTCGAGAGGCGGCCCCCGGCTCGGGCGGCTGCTCGGGCCCCCGGCTGGGGAGGCCCAGGAGGCCACAGCTGGCCATCGCTCGGACGTCCATTCCCTGTGCTCTTTTCGGTTTCGTGCGTGGTTCTTCATTTTTGTTGCCAAAATGACGAAGGATGCTCCTCGATGGTCCTCGCCGAAGGAAAAATGCACGCGTCCGAGCGATGCCGAGACAGAGGAGCTCCCGGGAGGCCTGGAGGACGGGCACACGGCCGTGGGGAAGAGGCCGGGCCCCCGAGGAGTGCCCCCGCGGAGCATGCCGATGCGGCGCGCGATCCTCTAGTCCCCGTCTGCTCGGACCCCAGTGTTAATTGGCGGCGCGCACAAGGGGGTGGGGGGAGGGGGGGGGGCTTCTTAGAAGCAGGCTGCTTCTTAGAAGGCGCCGGCCTTACATCTATAGGTAAGGCCGGCGCCTTCTAAGAAGCAGGGGTGCTTCTAAGAAGCCTCCCCCCTCCCCCCACCCCCCTTCTGCGCGTGGCTGAGTTAAGTCGGGCATGTCCCCCTACATGTGGGTTTTGCACGCAGCATTAAAAAGTGGCCGACACAAAACCCCAGATGGCCAGAGGATGATTTTCGAAACGATCCTCCCCAGACCATTTTCGCGGCTCTTTCTGGCTTTTCCTTCCTGTGGAGGGGCAGGCCCGACTTAACTCGGGTCGGGCGAAAGGGGGGGATAGCAAAGGGGGGGTTTGAGAATCAGCTCACGTAGCTGATTTTCCCGGCGCCTCCCGGCGCCGGAGGCGGCCATGTATCGAGGAATGGGCCCCTCGGTGAGGCCGAAACCAGCTGCATGCAGCAAATTTCGTAACCCGCCCTTTCCCAATCCCCTCCTTTCGTCCGGCCCGATCCTCCTCCTCCTCCTCCTCCTCCTCCTCCTCCTCCTCCTCCTCCTCGCTCCTCGCTCCTCGCTCCTCGCTCCTCGCTCCTCGCTCCTCCTCCTCCTCGCTCCTCCTCCTCGCTCCTGCTCCTGCTCCTGCTCCTGCTCCTGCTCCTGCTCCTCCTCCTCCTCCTCCTCCTCCTCCTCCTCCTCCTCCTCTCGCCCGGCCCGACTTCGCCCGGAAGTGGGGAGGCCTGGGCGACTTCGGCCGCCGAGCCCGCCGAGGCTGCCGCGGCCGCCCCGCCGGCGCCGCCCTCGGGCGCGCCCGGCAGCCCCGCGCCTGCCGCCGCGGGCGCGCGGGCGCCGGGCGCGGCGCCCTCGGGCGCGCCCGGGAGGTCCGCGGCGTCGGCGCGGGCGCGGGCGCGCCTGGGGGAGGCCCCCTCGGAGATCGTGGGGGCAGGAAGAGGAGGAGGGAGGAGGAGGAGGAGAGGAGGAGGAGGAGGAGGAGGAGGAGGAGGAGGAGGAGGAGGAGGAGGAGGAGGAGGAGGAGGAGGAGGAGGAGGAGGAGAGGAGGAGGAGGAGGAGGAGGAGGAGGAGGAGGGAGGAGGAGGAGGAGGAGGGGCAGGGTTCGCATGTGGCCCCCTGTTAGGCGAGCGAAAAGTGGCATAAGCGTAAAAACTCGGAGGTCCGCGCGGATTTTCGGATCGGCGCTGGACCCCCCTCCCTGGCGCGCGGAGCGCGCCAGGGGCGGCGCCGGAGGCGCCGCCGGGGGGCCCCAGCGCCGATCCGAGAAATCCGCGCGGACCTCCGAGTGTTTATTTTTATGTCATTGTTCGTTCCCCTACCTATGGGGGACGCAGAACAGCCTGGCTCGCCGACGAAGCGGAGTTCCTTGAGCCGGCGGGTTTCCAGCGAGTTGGGCCCTCGGGGGCAAGGGCCGTGCAAAACGGGCCCGGGGCGCACAATTACTCCAAGGGAGGGGGTCCAGAGCTCTGGGGGCACAGAAAGATGCCCAAATCTGCTCGCGTCGCCTCTCGGGGCCCTTGCCGGGCCTCGGGGCCGTCAACAGGATTAGCCGACGATCTGGGCGATTGGAAATTGCAATGCTGAAAATATCGATGGTTACGTACTGTGCCAGGGGCTACCCCCCAGGTAAACCTTCTGCCGTGGCAATTCATGTATAACCGCCCCCACCGGCAAGGGACCCAGCGCGTTTGGGGTTAACCTGATGCCTTAAGTTGTTAACCTATAGCCGCCCTCACCGGCACTGGCCCAGCATGCGCAAACAGCGCGAACCCATAAGACGACCGCCAACCCCACCAGCGCTGGCCCTGCACGCGCGAAAGGCGGTTGCAAACTGCTGAACAAGGCCTTACGAAGCTCACGCTGGCTCCACCGGCACTGGCCCGGCACGCGCAAGAAGCGGCCGTGGATGCCGAACGTGAGCCCGCGGGGGCACTGAACGCCGACCGCATTGAATCCCGCCTGCCTGGACCTCGTCGGTTTCGGCCTCCCCACCGTCAAGTCCGTTATACGTTGCGATGCAAGTTGCGTCGTAGGTAGCACCAGAGGAAGCACCGCTCGTTCCACCACAGGAGCGCCGTAGATGATCTCGAAGATCACACGGCAGATCAACGCGACAAACCCTGCGCCATCACCACGGGAGCCGTGAACACCATCAGCCCCTGCACTGCGCGCCTCCCGAGCACCGCATGGGGTCGTGGGCGCCGCCAACCCTGCGCCGCGCCGAACCGTTGCGCCCAACCAACCAAACCGGTCAACCAACGGTCACACGCATTTCGATTGACGCTTCCCCGCCACGCGCGCGAGGGGCATCCAGGAATGGCAGAACGGGCTGGGGCTGCCAGGCAAAAGCAAAAGGACAAAGGGTGACGGCGACGATGGTCTTGGTGCCTCAAGAGATGGGGCGGAGGAGGAGGAGGAGGAGGAGGGGGGAGGAGGGGGAGGAGGGGGAGGAGGAGGAGGAGGAGGAGACGAGACGAGACGAGCCCATGGAATCCACTGCAGTCTGGACTACCAGCATTCGCACCTGGGATTCTGGGAGTGGGCATCTTCGTCCCTCGCGATTGACAAAATCTATCAACTACCTGCACTCCTCGGATGAGGCACTGGCCTGTCGGCACCTCTGGGGCACGCGACCCCGAGCGAGGGCCGACGCGAGCGGCGCGGGAGACATGCTCATTGCTGTCTTCCCTCGCTCGGCTCGCTCCCTCCTCTCCCCCGCCCACGACTCTCCGCCCTCCCCCTTCCTCGGCCAGAGCCCCTACGAGGCAAAACTACAGTCGGTATACTCGGTAGCTCCGCCTGTCTGTAGGTCGGCATGCTCCTCACCTCCCCTAACATCGCTCTGGAAGCTACCTCGCTCGAGATCACTCCTCTGGCAACTAGGGAAGCGAATCGCTCGGATGAACTTCAATCTACTCGCTGCTCCCTGCATCTAAACTCTCTCTCTCCCGTCGGCCCTCCTACTTGTTCACTGCTGCTGAAATCTCCTGCTCCAGCGGGCCCCTCGGCGCGCCCCCGTGCAGGCGGATCCCCCCTCCATCTCGATCGTGCGCTTGAGGAGGTTGGCCGCCTGGGCGCCCGTGGCAGACTGCTCGTCGAAACAATATGTGACCAGGCACCTCTGGTCCGCCTCGCTCCTGCGCAGCATCTTGACCCTGAGATACTTGGTGTGCACTCCTGTGCGCATGATGTCCATCTTGCTCACTGTGTCCTGCCAGAACTGCTCGGCGTCGGAGCGCAGGATCTCCCCCGCCTCCTCCGTGGCGCCCGCTGCGAACTGCCTGGTCGCCATGTAGTGCATGGCCGCGCCGAACGCGTGGAGGTGGGGTGGGCCGCGCCCTTGATGTGACACTGCTTCTCCTGCTTTCTTTTTGTCGGCCAACCCCTTTCTCTCTGCGTCGTACTTCTTGCCTGCTCCGATCATCGCCGCGGGAAGCCCCTGCGCCGCACTCATGTCGCATGTCGTGTACACTGCCGCGGACAGGTCCGCCGTCTGGCGCGTCACCGAGAGGAGCAGGCGGCCGATATTGTTGACCAGCTTGCTCTGACCCCCTCCTCCTGCTGCGCGGGCCTCTGGTTTCGCCTTCTTGTCTGGGCCGCCGAGCGCTTCTCCTTGGGGGCCGCGACGCTGGCCTGCGGCTCCAGAATCTGGGCCGAATCACGACGGCATCGTCAGTGCGACTCCACTCTCTGGCATCCTGCTGTGACAGGGGCGAAGTTCGGTCAGCAGGCCGCTCTCTGTCACGGTGTGGTGGTTGTGGCCAAGGAAGATGAGAGCACAAATGGCAAGATAGTGAATCACGATCCTCACCCTGGAAATCACATACAGGGCACGCAGAAGATGTTGGTGGCAATAATGTACCTGGTGTTGTCGGGCCCCTCGTAGTGCAGTTCCCCCTGATAATTGATCCCAGCAAGTGCCTCGCTGCTGTTACTGTCGTCGAGAACACTTGTCGGCAATGAATAATATGTTACGTGGTGTGAGAACTGCAGCTAGATTACGAACGTGATGGTGTGCACGCATATGGTTGAGTAGCGCTTTGCAGTCATGATGGCATGCATTACATGGCCCCCCGTCCTTATCCCTTATCTTACAGCGATAGTTTCCCATTGCTCCCATGTTCGGGAACTCCTCCTCCCCCTCCTGGACGATGGTCTCCACGCGAAAACCTGGCGGTGGGATCCTGGCCCCGAACCCCCGAGCCCGAAGTTCCGTGAAGTCCAGTTTCACAAAGTCCTCGGAGGCCCTTGAGTCCGAGAGCACCCTAAAATCCGCCAGCACCTCGTCCACAGCGTAGTGCTCCAGTTTTTCCGATGCATACTCTAGGTCTCCGACCATCTGTTTCAACCACGGGGGCGCGAACCTGGTAGGAAGACCGTTCTCAAGCTGCGCGACCCCCAGCCCCTCCTCCATTTCAAGATCCCCGAACATGGCACACAGAGGCTGCGCGTGACAGTCGGGGCGCGCCGCCCAAGACTGGTAAACTTTCAGCCTGCGGTCGGTGAGGTCGATCTTACTGCCAGGGGACCTCCAATACTTCAGCACCTGTGCATGAGTTAGGGACCTCATTGTACCATCGCCCCGTTCCTCAGTTGCTGCCCCTCTCATGGCTATACGGCAAAGGGAGGCGAGGCAGCGGTCCAGGCGCTTATAGTCTGTGTCCAGTAGTACACAGGGCTCCAGCCCACTGATCAAAGTGTTGTAGACCTGGCCCTGGAGTAAGGTTCGTCGCCATTTGTAAGATAATGCTAGTGACCATGCTCCCCTAAGACGGTTATTTTTTTGCCATATCGCAACATCTCGTTACTTCATGATGTGCGGTTTTACGTGCCACCAGGTGCGGCCCCAGGCACCGAACGCAATCTGATACTTTGCCCCGAATTTTATCTCGCCCCAGTCGTAGAGTGCGGCGTGCTTGATAATCATGATGTGCAAAGTGAAGGAGCATCTAGTGTTTACCTATATTCTGCCCATACCCATATGGAGCTAGAGATTCGTCTAGTGCATCATCGACCCGCCGAAGTTTATCTAGGAACGCGCGTAGTGTGCTGCCTGGATCTGCAATCACCATTTTCTGCAAGTCATCAGCGTATTTTGTCAAGCTGAGGTCCGCAGCAAGGTTTTGCCACGTCGATACCAGCGCTTTTGAATTCATATCAGTACGGCGGAGCGTGTAGCTCCATTTCAAAACTGCCCGAGCGAACGTTCCCAGGAAGCCCTGCACTGTAAAAGGGTCTCCCATGGGTCCACCGCACCGTGGACGAACGAAAAAAAGATCCTTCCTGCCCGCCCAGCTCAATCAAGGCCTTGCGGTAGCGCTGCTTGCGCAACTCACGATCATGCTCAGCGGCCGCCAAGGAGACTGTTGCGTCGAGTTCTTCCCAATCCGAGCCCGCGAACGCGTTGCTCATGTCCTTGAAAGTGTTGCAATAAGTATATCCCAGCCGTCGAGCCCTCCATCCTGATACCAGCGTCACGAACGCCGCGTTCTCCCGACGGCGGTGACGCACAAATCCGTGATCGGCAACTGTGGGCACCACCCTCAGCTTGTTCGAGACGAAGGCTTTGCCCGCGAACGGCAGCACGTGGACCACGCGGACGCCCTTCGGCCCCGCCTCCAGCTTCTTCGGGATGTTGGCGCCCCTGGACTTGTTCCAGTACGGCGGCACCTGCTCGTGTTCTCTCATCTTGGCCTGTCCGTACGCGAGCAGGAACCAGAATCCTTGAGGAGAGATGAGCTTCGTAGCCGGTCCCACTCCAGCTCGCGTGCGTAGTCTGTAGTTCGGCCACATACACTGATGCCATACTTCTAAGGGAGCCATGCCTG